TCGGGGCCATTGTTAATTTTACCTGCCATGATGAGTGATTTTCTTAAGATATCCACAGGAGATCTTTAATGTAGCAGTTTCTTCTTGCTTTCTGCATCCTGAAGCCGTTGGCTTTATTGGTTCTTCCGCCTTTAGAGTCGATTTCTCACTCAAGTAAGGTCACAACCGGGTGACCTTACCTCAGTCCACTCTTCCACCTTCATAAAGAAGCTGTTGGTAGATCTGAGAGGGACCAATTATACCGACGGTCGTTCGGTGGTTTTTGCCATATCTGGATACCCTCACTTAGTTTAGCCTGCAGACTACTGCAGTTGTCCGGGGTGTGGCACGTGGAGCCATAAGTGAGAGTGGGGTGTCTTATGAGGACGAGTTATCTGGAACCATCTCCCGTCTTGACGCTCGATGTCGCCGTTCTGATAAAAGGTACTACCTCTATAACACAATCTCTACACCAACTAATTGCCCAAATTTAGCTCCTAATAGAGCCTCAATCGCTCTATTCTGTTTAACATTTTCAAGCACTTGCCTTTAGGTTGTTTGCCTCAAAGTTATAAATTCGTTGAAGAGATCTGAAGCGCTAATAGCTAAATGAAAAGATCATGAAAATTTATAATTTTCCTTTTTGTTTCTCCTATTTGAGCCTCAATCGCAACTCTATTGAAGTGTTGAAAGAACCTTTCCCCCGATTGTTTGGTTTAAGAACTACGAATGTTTGAATAAAAGCTGTGATTAACAGCCGGGAAAAGTGGCACACTCCTCAGCTCTCGTCAGATGAACAACAGCTCTTCAAACGATCCACTGTTAGACTGTTTAATTATTTGCTACAAAGTGTTTCACACTCGCGGTCCAACCTCGAGGTTGGAGCTTCACTAAGTGTGTGTTTTTGCCCTCCCCCAGACAACCAAGAAAGAAATTCGAGCTCGTGTCTCCATCAGAGGCACGTGCAGGTCCCCCCTTTTATGCTCCGGAAAGCCCCTCAGTGCAGTGCCGTTCAGGATAGTATTCCTGAGCGTATTTTGTGATCGACATTGCCAGCGCTTGAAATACCAGAAGCTCCTTCCTCCAACGCAACTTCAAATCATAAAATGAGCTCTCGCGAGCGGAGCCCTTCAGGGTACGAAAGCGAAGGCTCTAACCAATCAGAAACGGATCAAGGTAAGCCTGCAAGACGCCCTCCCCAAAAACCTCGCACTCTGCTTTCATTCAAAGCCAAAACCAAAGCCGCCGACCTACAGTCGCTTCGCTTGGCAAATTACAAGCTTCAGGAGAGTGTCACCTCTTTAAAAAAACAAAATCAACTGCTCGCCCAAAAACTCGCCGAGCAAGATCATAAGATTTCGCTCCTGCTCTCAGCCGTCGCCGAGGCGCATAAGCAAGCCCCACCAAAAGCCCCCAGCAGCCACCCAGCCGAAAAGATGGAAGTCGACGACTTCCCGCCCTTGAAAGCCCAGCCAAGGCTCAATATCCCCAAAACTTCTAACCCGGCACTCCACGAGCACATGGTCCAGCATGCGCAAGCCCCCCAACCTGCTAAAGCCCCCCAGGCTGCCCCAGCCCTAGCCGCCACTTCGGCACCCCCGCCCTCAGGCCCTGCTACCACTTCGGCACCCCAACCCCCCCAGTCCGCGATTCCTGTCGTCATCAGAAACACTGCGGAATAGACTAAGGCTAGAAATCTTCTTGTGCAAAACAATTGCACCTTCAGTAACCCCAAAAAAATAGCGTTGGGCATCCAAATCCACCCCAAAACTACAAATGACCACAGAGCCATCACCAAGCTTCTCGCTCGAGAAAAAATTTAGTTCCACACTCACACCCTCCTTGAAGACAAAAAGTTGATCGCCATTGTCAAAAGGCTTCACAACCAAATGGCACTTCCCGAAATCCAGGCTGAACTCGAAGAACTAGCCTTCACCCCTTCTGAAATCCAATTCTACAGAATGGGAAACCGCAAAACGGCGACCAATATGGTCAAAATGCTCCTCCCAAAGGAACAAACCAGCATCTTTGAGGTCAAGTACCTCCTAAACCTTTCAGTCGAAATCGAACCCCAAAGGCATCCCCAAACAAACATCAGGCACATTCCTCAGTGCAAGAGGTGCCAAAAATTCGGCCACACAATGGCAAACTGCATGGCAAAACATTTCTGCCACATGTGCGCCCAACAGCACTTCTACTCAGATTGCAAAAAGCCGAGAGACATCCCGGCTAAATGCATAAACTGCGAGGGTCCCCATCCGGCAAGCTACTTTTCTTGTCGCAAGAACCCAAACTTCCCTGCCCAAAAGCAAGAAAAAGCCAAAACAGCCAGCTTTTAAAACAAAGTTTCGCCTGGCATCTCCTACGCCGCCAAAGCTTCCGAAGCCCAGGCTCAAGCACCCCCTAAGCCCACCGTTTCAAACCCCCCCGTTCAAGCTGCCCAAAAAGCCCCCCGTAAACCCCAAAACGCCCCGCCCTGCGCTCCACAGAACACCCACCTTAACCCTGCTTTAATGCAACTCCTGCTCATGCCTGAGAGCGAAATCCAGGCTAAAATTAACAAAATTGCTGCCATGATTGGCAATTGCCCGGCTCTTCAAGCACTG